ATTATTTATATAAATATATATATATTATTTATATATATATATATATTTATATATTTATATATATATATATATATATATATATATATATATATATATATATATATATATATATATATATATATATATATATATATATATATATATATAAACATAATATATATATAAACATAAAATTGTTTAAATGTTGTAGTTTGTAAATTTTTGTAATATTTGCAAATGAATTTAATTGTATTATCTTTCCATTTCTAAAGATGTTCTATGACTAAATTATTTTTTTTATAAATGTATCTGTTCAATAAATCTGTTTTGTTCAAATTCACCAATATATATTACCCATATTCACTGAGAAATGGATGTTTTTTTTGTTTTGTTTTTTTTTCAAAATTTGAAAATGGGGTGTACTTATATGCTGAGCACTGTATAAACTTTACTGAATACAGCTTTGCAAAAATAACACAATATTTTATAAATAACAAACAAAAAACAAAAAATTTATATTTTATAAAAAAAAATTATATTTATATATATATATATATATAAGGGCTGCAACTAATGACTATTCTGATAATCAATTAGTTTGATACATATATATATATATATATAGAGAGAGAGAGAGAGAGAGAGAGAGAGAGAGAGAGAGAGAGAGAGAGAGAGAGAGAGAGAGAGAGAGAGAGACTTGTACAGTTTTTATCCAAGTTATACTATATAAATATACACATTTAAATAAAAAGTATGTCATATATGATTAATATATAATATATTAAGGCTTTTAAGTCAAACTAAAATTAAAAATAACAATACATAAATAGTAATGAGACATGAATAATATAATGTAATACAACTTTAAAAGGGAATTTCCAAAATATTTACAGTGGGCATGTTCTTTAAAAAAAATCTTAAAGTCTTAAAATCTTGCCCAAAATCAACGTAAAACTCCAATGTGAAACTTTCTTCTTTAAAAACAAACAAAAAAAAGTGTTAACATAATATCATATTGCATATCTTTCAAAGTCATTGACAATAGTTTTATAAAATTTTAAAATTTACTTTACATTTTCTTTGATTACATGAAGTACCGTCCATAACACGTTCAACCCCAGAATGAACTTATAATGGTGCAAAACAATAAACACTTACAGAATAATAGTTTTAGGTGAGCTGCTCCTTTAAAAGCAATCGGTCATGATGACAGCACTCTGGTGTTGAAAAGCATAAAGCCTACTTCAAACTCTAAAGAGCTTCATCCCACATCAAGATAAGCCATCTATAAAGGTTGCTGAGTGTGTTTTACGCAGTATAATTTAATAAACACCCATAACTGCAAGTCTTTTCTGGTTCCGCCTGGGTAATATCGGAAACCAATATTATATCAGTTCCACACTCCATCAGCACTTTCAGTTAAAAACAACCCCCGTTAATCAGATTCACAGATTAGATGTGATTTAGACAAAGATGCACACAACAGGTTTCATTTCAAGATCTAGTGAAGTTTCTTGTAATGCGATGTGTTGATGCAATTTCAAATGAAATGAAAAGTGGGTGGGGCATATCAAGTAGCTCCTCCCCTTAAAAACAGCCAATGGCGTTTGGTTTATATCACAGCTCCGCCAGCTTTGAGCATCTAAAATACAGCCTTTCAGAAAATATTACTGAAACATTTTATGATCTGCATTGACTTGCATATATGATCTGCTACTGTGTCTCTTTGCCAGAGTAGACTGAGTGTGTGTAGTTTATGTGAAATCAGATTCATTTAATTCAATGGACAGTAAACTTGCATTGTCCGAATTGTTTATCTTAAATATAGCACACATTTTTGAATGTCCTAGTGGTTTGTGTGCTTACTGTACGAGTGTGCACAATGCAGTTTTTCCCTCAGAGCTTGCCGTAGATACAGCATGTGATTGTACATGAATGCGACACACTTCAACATCTCAGCTTTATTGGGGTCCTCGCACATTGTTAAGAGTAATAATCATAAAGAAGTGAATATCATTTTAGGGCTCAGTTAAAGGGATAGTTCATCCAAAAATTAAATTTGTCATCATTTACTCATTCTACACTTGTTACAAACCAGTTTGTGTTTCTATCTTCTGTTAAACTCCAAGGAAGATATTTTGAGGAATGTTAGGAATAAAACAGGCCGAAAAATCTTCATATAAAAATGTGTCCATCCTAGCATGGATGTCAATGGCTGCATTTTTACAACAAACTTCAGAATATTTTGTGTATATTTTTGGGGTGAATTACACATTTAAATATGAATGAGCGAGACGCATCTTGTCGGGGGGATGAGACTTCAGATACCACAGAGCATTTGATAGGTCAGATGATGAGAAGTATTAGGGGCCGATCACACCAAACACACTTTTACGTTCCAAAAACCCAATGAGGTGCACCAAACTGCCTTTTTTATTTACAAGAAAAAAAGAAGCTTGGTGTGCTTTTTATGTCGTAAGGCAATGATGGAATCAGCTGTGTACTGTGCGCGAATGTTACTGTTGATATTGGTAAAATTTTCATATTTAATAATATTGTGATATTTAAAATTTGTGAGTCATACAGCACCGGATAACTCAAAACAGCAACCACAAGACACTCCTCCATCTATCTTCAAAGTCTCCATAGTAGTCCTGACAAAACAAACACTGCAGTCACCTCAATGGAAAACCCGCCGCTGCTTTCATTTGATTAAAAAATGAAACAAGCGGGTGATGAAACATATTTTTTTCTGTATAGAGTTGTCTTTGCCTGTGCAAGGCACAGCAAGCGGTTAAAATGCAAGGTGTGCAGGGCACATAAGCAGTTCATGACCATTAGTAAACTATTCAAACAAGGTGACTCTCAACGCAAAAAGTGTGCTCAGTGTGATGGGCCCGTTAAAAGCTGAAGTACGTGGTGATGTCAAAAAAAATCCACAATTGATGGAAGTCAGAAACTAAGATTGAATGCTCATATACATTAAACTGAAGCTCTGCACAGTTTAGTTACAATGCGGCTTTAACATATTTAAGGCTGATTTATACTTCTGCGTCAAGCGCACGCATATGCTACGGCACGGCCTACACATGGACAGACAGCCCTCTCTGTGGCAGAAGCACACCTCTCAAAAAATGTAACTACAAGTCGCAACGATGCATAGCGCAAGCTCTGTGACTGGTCGGCTTGATAGCGCTGACGAGTTTGAGCAGGACCGAGAGCCGCACAAGCCTGATGGCGTGTTTGTTTACAAGTGTGGAGTCCCGTGAAGGAGCTCCAGATAGAAAATTTTTGTTTTTAACCACTTGTACATTAAGGAAGCATTCAGAAAAAAAACAAAACACCAGCGAAAAACTCAACACAGAGGAACATAAACACTTATTGCAGAGCAACAGAAACAGGGTGCAAAAGTATGAATGCACAGCTACGCCCGTTGCATGCGCCGTTAGTCACGCCGATCACTTGACACAGAAGTACAAACCAGGCTTTACCTGTAGGTTTCACACAAGCCTGAAGGACTTAATTAGTAGGGGTGTCAAAATTAATTGTTTCTTCTGTGCACTGCGATGCGGTATCGACAGTTCGGTATCGGTTCAGTAATAATCATAACCGGTTATTATGTACTGACATCATTAATCTCCTATGCGCTCTGTCGCGAGGGAGTTGAGCGTGAGTATTTACAACACTCAGCCCGTGGCATAGGAACCATAGGCAAATGCTAAGGGCGCTGTAAGTTATATCCAAGGGGGCGCCAGAAATGAGCGCAGTTCAGTTGGTTTTGTTTACGATATTCCTGACACACAATCAGTTATAGACGGCAATAACTCAAAAAAACTCTTACCCTAAAGAGATTTAAAGTGTGTTTCCTACAAAAAGACAATACTGGTTGTTTCACAGCTGTCTTTTTTTTTTTTTTTTGCTTGACATTACGAGCACTGCTCTGTTTAAGCCCTCGCAATATGTGTTTAGCCGGGGGAGCTCGCGCTGAGAGGAGCTCTCAGTAAGGGACCGTCGGAAAAGTGCTTCTTTTTTTAGTTTTTTTCTTTTCGTTTTTCTGCTCCGCTCAGCGCAAGCTCTCCCTGTTGCGAGGGCTTAAGTGCGTGTGTGTGTTGGTGTATGTGTTTGTTTGGTGCGGTCTATGTTTGTGCATGTGTTTGAATGAGAGACAGTGTGTTGCTGTGTGTCTGTGTGTTTATACAGACAGCTTGTTATAGCCTCCCCCCTAAAATATAACACTGTATATGGAAAGCATCGTCAATGCACCGTGATGCACCAAGTTATCGAATTGAACCGAAGGCATGATAATCGTAACCGAACCGAACCGTGAGATAAGTATAGGTTCACACCTCTATTAATTAGTCTGATCAAGTGTGTTTAATCAGGGTTAAAGTTAAACTGTAAAGAGCTGCGGCCTTCCAGGAACTGGATTTGGCGTGTGCATTAAACGCACATTCTTTGTTTTGTGGCATACGAGTGAATACATTACGACCTCATCGCCATTTTCAACCACTAACATTGGCAACATTATCACATAGTAAATTTACTAAACACTGATAGTAAAAAACTAATACTCAATTAAATCGTTATCAATTTACTGAAAAACAATTAATCCAGCAGGTGGCGTTTAGAACAGCAGGAATGACTGTGTTTCCTTGGTTACTGCAGTAAACAAACCAGTGAGATGTCAAATCTAGCAGGATTTTATAGATTTCATAAGCTCCACAGAATCCAATATTAGCAGGTTAAATTCAGGCAAACTTTAACATACTGATACAAAATTTAATACCTTGTTAAAAAAATAGCAGACTTTTAAGGGCCTTAAATGTCTCTAAATTGACTTTAAGACCTTGCGGACGCCCTGTTATAGTCAATCTTAAGACAGTCATTGATACTAACTCCAAAGCCTTCAATTTTGACATCAGGTAAACTTTAAGCAATAACATGCATGTTGATATAGGCTTGATTTCTCTCATATGCATATTAGCCCAGTTCTGTGAGTTCCTGTGGTGTGACCCACTCACCTCCCCATGTGTTGGCTAAAGGCAGGCCGCTGGAGAGAGGCAGGGAGGGCTGGAACGCAGGCTGCAGGTCCAACAGATCGTTCGGCACCTTTGGAGTGCTGGAGCCAGACACAACCCAAGACAAACACAGACACGCACACAAAGAGGAAACGCATTAATGTCTTCCATAAAATGGCAGTGGAAGTGCCAAGCATTTCACAGTTATATGGCAAAGACAAACTTGGCACGATGATTTAAAGTGCTTAAAATGGAGACTTAAGGGGTTTGGGGGAAATTCACATGCAATCAATACCTTCTTCACAGCCAAATCCTGTCTGGGCAGGAATTCACACACAGAAAACTGGAGGACTTTTTTTTTAACAAACAAAGCTACACAATTTTAGGACAGTGGTAATTAATCTGAACGTATAATAAATTATGCTAGTCTTAGCTAGCTCTATTATTAATGTACATTCTTGTGGCTCCTTGAATGACATCATAAAAAGCAATATAGTAAGTTTGAGACGTTGTGTAGTCCTGCATAGAGCTCTAATTAAACACTAAAGGCTGAAGATTGATGCCATACAACTGCACGTGCACTCAAGCATCAGCTGGCAAAATAATCATGAACAGCTGTGTATCATCACAACAGAAAGACTGAGAGATCAATTATGAAATACAGAAATATTTGTTTTGCCCACACAGTATGATAGGCTGAAAAGCATTCAAACTGTTGAAATCAGCATAAAACCATTTATCGTATGATGAAAAACATTATTTTAGCCAGTAACAGTGAAGCATTAACTTTTTTAAAATAGGTATAGAGCCACTTATAAGCAGAACACATTAAAATGTGGCAACCTTTTCCAAAATCACAGTGCATGTGCATGACAAATTTCATAAAGTTCTGAGTATTAGTTAATAAAACTCATGATTTTGTCCATTTTATAAATTACTCTGTTATAAAAACGCATACTTTACTGATAATTATTAATCAAGGATTGAACTCCTAAAAATTCTGACAAGAAGTTTTTTAGCTCTTCACGCTCAAACTAAATCTTAACCTAAAACCTAAAAAAAGTTAAGCTTTAACCTAAATTAATTTTATTTATTTATTTATTTTTGCATTTCTAGGGTTAAAACAGCTGGATAGTAAACATTATACAGCTTATTTCATTTTTGACCTTATTCTCCAAAAAATCCCTCCAAAAAAAGTCAATTACTACTAGTTTCCAGTATATTTTAAAGTTCTTGTGTTCAAACGAGGACTGTGCGATTAATTGTAATTGCATTAAAATTGAAATCACCAATCAAATGCAGTGAGCAGGAAACTGAATGGCCTGTGTATACAGGGATGGGGATAATTCAGCACAGGAGGACTTGGTGCAAAAAGTGTCAACATCTGTTGTATGGGATTAAGTTACTTTGGATACAGGGAGGCTGATGTATGGCAGAAGCAGGCAATTTATAAGTCAGTCATATATTGCATCTAAAAGCGTGTGGAAAGTGTGAGTGTGTCGCTTCTTTCAGCATTTTCAATGTGTTTTGCAGTCGCTTCTTTGTTGTTGTTCTGTGACCATTAACTGTTTTCTCAGAGGAGGACAACCTGACAAAACATTGCTGCAACTCCGATACAAGTTTATATGTATGGAGAGAATTAAAAACCACTTGGGTGTCTTGTATTTGTCTGAGGTAACCAAAATGTGTGCGTTCCATACAGAGTATGAAGCTGATTGGTCAGTTCTTGTAATGTGACTCATTACAAGGTGCAGCATTTTGAAAAGTTACATTTAAAGATTTTCTGATAAGAGATGTTATTAGCTGGGTGCAATATGCGCACGCTATCCATGCACCTCCACTGAAAAGAATGGACTTGTGCGCGCAAAAGACGTGATATGTAAATGCTCTATTTGAATTTGATAAAGATCTAATTGTTTTTCTTTTAAAATAGGTTTCAGATTCAGAAATCGTAATATTGTTTAAGATCATTGTGATATACCCATATTGCAATATCACCCATATCACACAGACAGATTTGTAATTTTTTGGGTGAACTGCCACACCTTTACACATAATGTGATGTAAAATAAAGTTCAACTAAAGAAACTATTACCTGTTAGCAAAGGTACTGGTTGCGGAGAACAAGTCAATGGCCGGAACGGTACTGATGGACCCCGTCTCGGTGGAAACTGGAGATGCAGCAGTCGTGGAGGTTGTGGAAGGTTTCTTGGACAGTTCCTTCAGCCGCTGCTCCTGGGCGATTAGGAAATAAAACAGCTTCCCTTGTTAATTACTCTAATGCTTTAATATAATCAGCTTTTGCAGATGATCATTACATACCTTAAGTGCTTTTAATCGGGCCTGCTCCTCCTCCAGAGCAGCCTGCTTTTCCCTCTCGTCAGCTTTGGTGAAAGAGATACCCGTGTTGGCCAAGGAGGACACTGCGTTGGACAGCGTACTGGCTCTGTGTGGAAAGATGGACAGATGAACAGAGTAAACATGCCACTGCAGGCTACAGATTAACATGTTAGCCAAGAGCAATGAAGCTCCTCACTAAAACAGCATGCCAGAAAATTTAGGGGAAAACAAGCATTTCTATTCCTTTCAGGTTTTTTGTCGTTTAGTCGTTCTAATATACAAGATTTCTGCATTTATTAGTGCACCTTCTAACAATATTAAGTCACACTGGCAGGAAAAAGGTTGTAAAATGCATCAGTTTTTGAGGCTTCCATTGTAAAAATACTAAGGTTGCATCATGTATTGAATATCAGTGAGGTTAGTGTGAGCATGAAGCACATTTTTACGGTTTCCTCTTCAGGAAGCCAGTTTGACCTCGGACGTATGTGAACAGTCAATGTAAGCAAAGCATGCATGTTTTTAGCCTATGTCCAAACTGCAAGTCAGCAAATTCCAGTTCATTTCTCCTGTATACTCGGTTGAATACATTTCTAGAAATATTTATAAGAATGAACAAGTAATTATGAAATCACATATGTCATTTAAATATGTAAATAAATATACCAAAGTTTATATATTTTATATAAACTTTATATATACATAACCTTCAGCTGAAAATACTGTACCAATAAGCAAAAAAGCAAGCAAGAATTTAATAAATACATTTATATTCATGGAAGACCCAAAGCATCACTTTTGTATCTTTTCTGTTTAGATCTGTTACAGCTGACATCCCAAAAACTGTTTTGTTGGCTATTGGTGCAATTTAAAGTATGACTTCAAGTTGTGACTTTAAAATATTTTGAATTTAGATTAATTCTAGATGGCAGAAGCCAATTGTTTTCTGCATAAAAATCATTATTCCACTCTCTAAATCCCTCTTACTTCGAAATACTGCACAGAACTTTTAACCTGACAGAAACTCCCTGAAACACCTCTCCAACACAAACACACACACGCTCATGCTCAGTACTTCCAAAAGTTGCACACACTCGCAGAATGCCGAGTATGAAGACAGCAACCCCCTCACAAGCTAAAAAAGTTCAAAATTAACTGCTTGAAAATCAGTGTACCTGCTGGCAGCTGTGGAGTCTTTGACCTTTTTCCCCTCTAATGAAGCCAAATGCTGCTCGAGGGCATCCAGAAGGCTACTGGGGGCCTGGGAGAATGGAAACATTGGGTTAGTTTAAAGGCCACACACTCACAAAACAAATATATACGCACACAACATTTATGGGTGATTGATCAATTAGGGGCAGTTGAGGAATTTCCGAAAATGTTTATTCTTTGAATTAAATTAGTCATCCATGTTAAATCGTGTCATTTTTAAAAACAAGGACTGAACTACGAACAACCGTCCGCATTTTGGACCATTTCTAATGTTGTACTTGATGGTAATGACAACTGTTTGATGCTTTTGGTATACTGAAGGAGTTAAAAGGACATGATAATAATCATGATAAAAAAATAAATACACCTTATTTAATACAGCTTATGAAAGAAAGAATAAACAAATGAAAAAATATATAAGTAAACGAGAAAAATAATAATAATCTAAAAGTAAACATCAACAAAAAAAGAGAAAAAATAAACAAGATAAACAAACAAGAAAGAAAGAGAAAGAGATAAAAAAACTAAAGTAAAAAAAACACAAAAAAGTAAGAAAAGATAAACTAAAGTGAAAAATTTATAAAGAGAAATAAAATATAAACAAACTAAAAAAAGAAAAGAAAGAAAGAAAGAAAGAAAGAAAGAAAGAAAGAAATGAACAAACTAAAGTAAACAAATCAACAAGAAAGAAAAAGAAAGAAACAAAGAAACTAAAGTAAAAATGTACAAAAAAAAGAAAAGAAAGAAAGAAAGAAAGAAAGAAAGAAAGAAAGAAAGAGACAGAAAGAAAGACAGAAAGAAAGAAAGAAAGACAGAAAGAAAGACAGAAAGAAAGAAAGAAAGACAGAAAGAAAGAAAGAAAGAAAGAGACAGAAAGAAAGAAAGAAAGAAAGAAAGAAAGAAAGAAAGAAAGACAGACAGAAAGAAAGAAAGACAGAAAGAAACACTTGCTGTAATCAAGAAAGAAAGAAAGAAAGAAAGAAAGAAAGAAAGAAAGAAAGAAAGAGACAGAAAGAAAGAAAGAAAGAGACAGAAAGAAAGACAGAAAGAAAGAAAGAAAGAAAGAAAGAAAGAAAGAAAGAAAGAAAGAAAGAAAGAAAGAAAGAAAGAAAGAAAGAAAGAAAAAAAACACTTGCTGTAATCAAGAAAGAAAGAAAGAAAGACAGAAAGAAAGAAAGAAAGAAAGAAAAGAAAAAAACACTTGCTGTAATCAAGAAAGAAAGAAAGAAAGAAAGAAAGAAAGAAAGAAAGAAAAAGAAAGAAAGAAAAGAAAAAAACACTTGCTGTAATCAAGAAAGAAAGAAAGAAAGAAAGAAAGAAAGAAAACACTTGCTGTAATCAAGTCAGAAAGAAAGAAAGAAAAAAAAAACACATGCTGTAATCAAGAAAGAAAGAAAGAAAGAAAGAAAGAAAACGAAAGGAAGAAAGAAAGAAACAAACAAACAAACAAAATCCTTGGACATAAGAATCAACTCCAATAAATGAATGAACTAATAAATGAGTTTCACACTGACACAGAAGACAGCAGATTACGATTTTAAAATGAACCCTATTAATCATATAGAAAAATCACACCAGACAGACAGAAATGTCCTCCTAATTGAAGAATCACAGCTATACGAAAACTCAATAGCATGCAAAGACGGACAACAAGCACAGGTATAAAGCAAAGGCTACAAACCAGAGAAGAGAGTACTTACACAAACTGTAAACTGAAAATGGGAAGATAAGGAAAGATACAGAATATAAAGGTGGTTTAACAGAGGTGTTCTCAGAGCATTAAAGAAAATGCTAAATAGTGAACCAGAAAACAAACAAACTAAAATATAGTTGTTAAAAAGTTAGTTCACCAGAAAAATGAAAATCTACTCACTAGGAGTTTCTTTTTTCTGTTGAACACAAAATAATATATTGTGAAGAATGATAAAAACCGGTAACCAGGGTGCGACTGATCTCCCTGAAGATCTGTATTTTAAATAATAATGTTAATAATTAAAATAATAGACATGCATTTGACCCCACAATAACGGTTCATACCGTTGTGAATGTATAATCGCACCAATCAGTCCATGCGAGAAAAAAAGTCATTATACAGTCTGAAACCGGCAGATTTAGAAGACTGATAGACATCGTAAGAGACCTAACAATAACGTTAAATTGGATGCATTGTTTGTATAGTTTGCCCTAAAATAAGCCGAAATAGCTAATCAGGTCACAATACACCCAAGCCCAATGACAATTCTACCCCTTAGCCCTTCCCCTTATGCGCAAAATGAGGGGTAGGGGTGTCCCAATTCTCTTTAGCTTAAAGGCGCAGAGCTAACAGAAAGGCGTAGATACTCCATTGAACTGAGATTTTTCAGGACCACACATGAAACCAAGGGGTAATAAATTTTCCCAGAATAAACCAGCCACAATGGCAGCATAGCTGTACCCGGAAGGAGATGCACAAATTAATGTTTTTTTTGTCATTATTACGAATTTTTACAACAAACAAGCACATGTTTAAATACATTCTTAATTGCTTTAGTGTTATATCATCATGCTTAAAAAAAAAAAAAAAAAAAAAAAAAAAACGCTAAAATCAAAACAGCTAAATTTCTATTATTATCTAAAATAATAACTTCTATATAGCAGTCCCACAACATTGACACTCAAATACCCTATCAGAAAAGTCTAGTGGTTAGGAATGACCTTTTTACAGCGTCTGGTATAATGTTAATGCTGTTTTCGTGTGTTTACATAGATGAATATGGCCACGGTGTCATGCACAGTACAACAATTACAAGCTTACTACCACATTACATCATTATGATAACATGATATCACTGCCTTCAGTGATTTCATGTTCGCGATCATCTGATCTCATATGAAGAAAGAGATCGCAATGACATATAATAACATGTGCAGGTGCAGTAGTGCTGTCCCATTTCTTAGGGGTAAATTTTGAAGCCCTTCCCCTTCAAATTCCGTTTCAAGGGCCAAGGGGAAGGGGTACAAAATTAGAATTGGGATTGGGTTTAAATATCCCACAAAACACTAAAAACTTAAATACATTTCAGTGTTTCCTCTAGGATTTTTTCCAGCTGTGGTGGCAGGCCTTTTACACAGATCTTCCAACAACCTATGGTGTTATTTAAATGACAAATGTCACGAGCGCAGTATAACAAGTCGAGATCGCATTTATGTAATACGAGCATGCAAATCTCTTTCCTGGCACGCATGATTCCTCTGTTCATGCGCAAAACGTCTTGCACGTCCTCAAATATACGCTGCTCAATCACAGATCTTCTTGTGCACTCTCAAAAAAACACTGCTGAAGTGCGATTTAGTACGTTAATGTTTCTAATATTTATTAGATTTGCTAGAAATATTTATGAATGTCTCCAATAGACCTACAGAACAGCAATAATGCATCATGAAGTAAAGTGAAACTGCTATAAAATCCAGCAAGATAAAGTCATTGTATGACGAGCCATAGACTTATGTATTAAGTATAATTATGGAAACTGTGTTTATCGTAACTGAAAGCTATGTCGTGTTTGCTAGACTCACGCATAGCGCATCTGTCAGACAGTCAGTCAGTCAGCATGTCACCTTAAAGGGTTAAACGAATAACGCACAACACCACTACAATTACCGAAAAGTTTGCTCTGTTATAATTCACTTGTCTTTTAATACGGTTTGATGTGAATTTAACTTGCTATTAAAAAAACAACAACAACGACGACTGAATGTTTTTGAAGAGAAACTATAATGTGGCGGGAGGAATTTTGGTGTGGCACCCCGCCATGGAAGAATGAATGTAGCGGAAACAATGCATTTTATGAATAAATTAGATGTAATTTAAATAAACACATACATTTGATTAACTGAAGCATGTATTACACAACCTAACATTAGAAAAAAGTTGACCCCTTCGATTGTCACTGTATAATTCGCACACTGCCGGTAACCAATGACTTCCATAGCATGAAAAACAAATTCGTTGGCAATCAATGATTAACAGTTTCCAACGGTCTTCAAAATAAAACGATTGTGTGAGCAAACAGAAGAAAGAAACTCAAATAAGTTAAACAAATGAAGGGTGAGTAAATGAGAGAATTTGCAGTTTTAGGTGAACTATCCCTTTAAGTTATGATATAAAAAAATATATATTAACTGATTCTGAATGTTAATATCTCGAGTAATATTAATGATCATCATTCTGGCTTCGAAAAACAAATCTACCACACAAAAAGAGTGACCTTCTTGTTTGTCTGTCTCCTGAATGAACAAACATGTTAAAAGCTAGCTCTTCAAAAGCAAAATTAAGCCTAAATCTAAACTGCAAACATTCTCAAGCTTGTAAGCCACCGTGAGCATCACACCTTTATGTGCTGTATGAATCGAGCATTGAGGACAGCTAGAATCGTTTCCCCATCTGTGTCATGCAGAGATGTCCGCATGCGCCGAGTGCTGCCGGCCTGTGGTTTGCAGCTTCAATGCACAAGCAAATTAGCCACAGTTCTAGAACTCTCAGATGACTTTTCCATCTATAACTGACGTTAAGCACTGAGATTTCTAGGTAACTGCATGTTAGAGAGTTCTACAACTGGCGCTCATTTAAATCTCACTGAGCAGTGCTACTGTAAGTTTGGCTGTGGAGCTCAAGCTGGGCGTTAAGGGCAGAGTGACATAAGTAGAAAGGGAAGCAATCAAACAATGTGCGTTTATACTCAAAACCAAGGTCAATTAATGCCCTTACCTGTGACAGGTCCGGTATGTCTCCTCGGTCGATTCCCACTTGCTGTAATGAGGAGGGAGGAGTGAGTTAATGTTGATCCCTATTAAGCTGCAGCTTTTATTGACATGTATTTTTTGTCATTGAATGGATGTCAGTCCGATTAAGTAGCTTCACTTGAAAGCAAAATTAAGACCTGGTTCAAATGATTTAAGACCTACAACACTTTATTTTAGTGAATTTAAGTGAATTTGATTTTAAAATCTAAGACTTTAAGACTCAGCGGACAGCCTATATATTGTTGTTGTGTGTTTTATGTATGCTTGCCATTACTTTGTAAAACGTTGCCTCTAAACAAAACACATTTGAATTGACCGATAAATAGTATTGCTTCTAAATATAGCAATCTGTACTTGTTACATAAGCTGGGAGCCCCATAGTGCAGGTTACACAATCTTACCTCTGCCACTTTGAGAAACTCTGAGATTCTTGTCATTCGAGTGAGGAATTTCTTATAGATGTCCAGGCCTTCTTTACACTGTGCTTTCTTCATGTCGAAATACTTCTCTGCAGAAGGGAAAAGGGAAAAGTCAGATTATTTTTGCCTTCCCATTTCCCACCACATTTTAAGAGGTCTGCTTTTCACCAGACAGAGTTATGCTTGGCATCTGTCATGACAACATGACCCAAAGCAGCTCTCACTAGTATGTCAGTCTCTCACAGAAACCCCTCGTTCAATATGTAACCACTGAATGAGGCCAAAAGATGCAGCTTAGCCCATAAAAAAAAGTGCTGTCCAACACAAACACAAGAAAGAGCCGCTCTAGTTAGGAATTGCAATAGTATATATTCACTATTTAAACTGTAAAATAATTATTTAATTTCATGCACATAAATATATATGAAAAAATAAAACAGCAGTTAAAACACCATTAACTAAAAAACTAAAAACAAGTCTGAATTAATGGAACTGACATTAAGACTAAACTGAAATTGGACTCACAATGACTCTTTTTGATTGACTTTAGATTTGGTTTGAAGATGCATTTTTTTTTTTATAAATGATGCTAAATGCAGTTTTTAATAGTTCGGAAACATTTTGTGCTTGTCCACTATTGATTATTCTCAAAAATATGAAAAAAAACAACAAAATTAATTACAGGGCTCGAAATGAAACTTTTTGCTTGGTAGCACTAGTGCTCCTAACTTTAAAAATTTTAGAAGCATGCACTGCTTGACATGAAAGAATCTTAATGATAACTGTGATGTATGTAATAACTGTGGTTCGATATTACACCAATGCTTTTGACATATAACTTAATATTTGAATATGTCATCTTAATAGCAATAACCGTCTTTTCATGAGCTGCAATATTAGTTTATTCTTAGTGTATGCAAACCGTTCTGCGATGATGTACAGAGTGTTAAATTTTACATTCAGACCATTTCAATGTCATTAGCTACGTTTCCATCCACCTATTTTTATGCGCATTTTGGATATGCGAATACAAAAACGGTTGATGGAAAACGCCAAGATTCACATCAATTTTGAAAATGTGCATTAAAAAAACGTATAACCAAGTAGGATATACTTTTTATTCGATAAGAAGAGATGCACATAAATATGGTGGAAACACTTTTACTGCACAAATTCCAGTATGCGCATTAACAAAGGTCATGTGATTTTGTTAAGAGATCATGTGTTGATAATAATGTGTGCGAATGGATAAACCAGAAGGCTGAGCACACTAAAACATCTGAAATGTTTATTTGGTCATTCTAAAACGCCGTAATCGTTTCAGTTTTAATGTTATTATGTTATTAATGACCTCCAGAATCAAGAGCATCTGTGCTCCGCGTCTCACGTCTGCAAACGCCACCACGCGTTCAATGCGTGTCAAGATTGCTTTCTGAGGTGCAAGTCATATATTTAATGAAGCAACAACTCACACAGCTTCTCCTACCACAACAAATTACGCTTTTACTCTTGATATTTGGCACCAGTTAATCAGGAAGTGACAATATTTTTTGCTTTGACTTGGATGGAAACGCTGCTTTATTAGCACGTCTCTTATAAGATAATCTAGTTTAGCGCATAATGTTATTTCACATTTTTGGATGAAAACATAGCTATTGGGCTATGAAAACAATTTCCTGCTTGTTATCAAATTATTTCATAACTGTAACGAGGCAATTTAATTATAACAATGTTAAAACAGCTCTCATGACATTATTTATTATTATGTAGCTCTTTTTGGATTCTCAGAAGCTATTGAAATTAAAAATATAAAACAGGAAATACATTGGGACCATTGTATTTTGTTTACATCCCTCAAAATGGTCTAAAGCTGCCACTTGCACAGCTGACAGCATCCAGATAATTAAGTGAAGGATTAAACAGAACCTCTCGCACTTGAATTGTTTAAATGTGGCAAATGTTGTTACCTGCAAACTCTGTCACACCAACTTTAAGATAAATGCTTTAATCATTTTTATAGCGTTCTTAAACCCAATGAAAGTCTTTTATCCACTCTTCAAAAAGTGTATATGGTGGATTAACATTCACCACATGATCACAAATTATTTGTAACTTTAGGTGGTTTTTAAAACAAAACCTGTCAGTGCTGTTTTCAGTCTCTTATCTTCAGCGCTTCACATTTTTGTAGCTCCCTGTCATCTGAAGGTAAAAGACATTGGTTGAGTGATTGACAGCTGATATTAACCAATCCATTCACGTTGAGTTATAAAGCAATGGGCCAATCAGAAGAGCTTGAAGGCGGGGCAAGCATTGTGGGTTTTGTTTACTGCAACAAGTTGACATGTCAACCATTTTAAACTGTTCCTGAGTGCTGCGTTTTGCATTTCGGATGCAAAGATGCATTCTGCATGAATGTCTCCAAAAACATTGCGCAGTGAAAACGTTACACAAATAAAGGCAGGGCTCGAAATTGCGACCATTTTAGTCGCATATGCGCCCGAAATTTAAGCTATGTGACTCATAATATATATTGGGAGCATTCGTGCGACTGCATGTTATGGTTGTAGTGCGACCTGTTTTTGTTTTTGTTTTTTCTAAAAACGTGGTAAATTCGCTCTTCCCTGCCACTATATTGGTTCATATTAGCCGTCAATCACTCAAGACTTTCCGCTGTCAGATGACAGGGAGGGAGCTTTTGTGACCGCGGGGATTGCAAACGGCTGAAGAGTGAAATGTACACTGAATCTCAATGCGTTGCATGCACTGAGTGTTCAGCCAACACAATCTCACGGCAATTCATAACTTTTTCATACGTTTCCTCGTGAGCAGGCTGCAACAGCGCAAATGTCCGCTAAAACACCATCGCCAAAAAAGCTTGCCTTTACTGAGTTTGATATGATGCGGGTTATAACAAAGAACAGTATTGCGCCGGTGGGCATCGGGGGAATCCTGCTCTGCCCCCCTCGTATTGGGCCGGCTGACTAGCATGCTTTCCCGCAAACACAGAAAAATGTAATTCAGCGCGTAACGAGGCTGAGCATTAAAACGACACGAACCGAAACCAAAACTTTTATAAGTGAGACTTTTCCTCCTTTCTTTTGTCCGTTCTTTCTTGAAGTGTATATTATTTTTCTATTAATTACTGATGACTGCTTTGCAGCTTTCAGCATTGGATTGAATGATTTATTATATTATTTTGTTTGTTTTGTAGCAGAAATATTATTTATTAAATTGGCATGCATATAAAAACAATAGTACAAAATAAATATTTCTTACTACAATGCTTCATTCATTTGTGTTTGATGCAAACCATCAATTTATTTTTCATAAATTAACAGTAGGACTTAATATAGCAGATAACTTGCATTAAAGCACATTCAAGGCAGCATGATGATGAGAAAAATTATTCATTAATATTATTGTCATCATCATAATCAATAATATTTTATAATTATTCAACATTTATTTTGGAATTATTGCACAAATATTAAGTCATCACAGCATTAGTTAGATAGTCGTTTCTGGGTTTTGTTAGTCCCAATTGATGTTGTTTTCAAATACAATAAATCCCTTAATATACAACTTGTCAAATATATCATTCATTTTTGCTGGATGCTCCTAATTTTTTTCCGGTGCTCCTAAATTTTTTCTGGTGCTCCTAAATATTTCAGGTTGGGAGCACCGGTGCTACCAAGTAAGAAAGTTAATTTCGAGCCCTGAAAGGTCTTTAAGGTCGCATAGATAAACTTTTGGGCACATATGCGACCAAAACATTCACAATTTTGAGCCCTGAATTAAAACATTTTTTATAATAAAACAATACTTCGCTTATCACGATTTTCATTATTCAACTGTTCCCAAAAAATAACAATAAGAGCTTTATGCATATCAGTATTTGGTCTACTTCAACATATTTTTAAACGCTGTGCTTTCAATATGATCTGATGAGGCAAGTAGCAATATCGCAAGCATTTAGATAACCTGGTTTAAATCCCACTCATTGGCTAATCACCACTTCTAGATGAAATTTGCTCAGTGCATTCCAGCTTTTACTGCCCTAAACAGTGACATTGTCCTTACTTGGCCCTAAAAATACATTCAGAGACTATTGAAATGTACATGAATGGTTTATTTCATGAGCTGAACCATTCGGATAATAAACGAGCGGTCATAAATCTGTGTGACGAGTCAGGTCAGAGTCCAATGCAATAGTCGATGAGCAGGCTGATATTTTAAGTTCAAAGGTCTCTGTAACCAGAACCAATAACCCAGATAACTGGTAAAAAGCCAATATGTAGGACAGCCCATAGTGACTTTTTGAAAACATTGATAACTGCTCACCAAGCAAGTTGATGATCCCTTCATTGTAGGCCGCGAACAGACGGATGGCATCTTTAAACAGAAGCATGAACGCTGCATTAATGACCCCGTTTGTGAGCTCGTTGGCATTTACCTGGCAAAACAAAACAAGCCAAACTCAATTTAGTTTAAGATAAAAGAACTAAAAACTGCAAATTAGAAAAATACCATAAGGTCAAGAGCACTATTGGTTTGAGTAAGCATAGTCGACCTGCTGTCAACATAAACTTACATTGAAGTCGAGGAGTGCATCCATCTGGTTTTGGATGATAGGGATGGTCTTTAGAAGCTTTTCTGTGTTCATAGTTCTCATTACGCCATCCGCACTATGACAAAAAAAGAGCCACGTTAAAGAAAATATTAAGAGTTTTCAATTTTAGGATGAAATAGTGTTTTTTTTTTTATTAACAAGGACCAAAGTTTCAGCTGAATGGACAATTCTGTCTTTTTTTCATAATGTTGGCTGTTATTGAAAACAGCATGAATTCCCTCTCAGGTCACAAATCATCACCTTAGAATTAAGGTTCTATCTAATATTTTTGTCAAAATAGAGTTATTTACACATTCTTATTAAATGAAAACCTATTTACATTGTGATTTTTTTTATAAGTTGTCTACAATAAGACTTTTTATAAAAAACAAAAACAAAAAAGCTTTAGCTTGACTATGTTTTTTTTTTTCTTTTTTTCTATGAGCCATTCATTTCAAATGCACACATGGAACCAATCAGGATTAGCTTTCTTTGTCATTTCACCGGACTTCCCCATTGACAGCGGGAAAGACCAGAACGAAACACAAAATCAAAGTTGACTAAATAATGCTGCACCACACAAAATTGAAAAAGAAGTAATGTAAAACTGAAAAGGTGTGTAAATGTGATGATTTAGAAGCATTTTTTGACATTGAGATAAAATGTTAAATTTTACATTGTTGAAAAAGAAACAGTTATTCAAAAACTTTATACAATGTGATTTTATATAAATATACTGTTCACTGATTATGTGTGTATATATGTGTGTGTGTGTGTGTATTTATATTTATATACACACACACACACACACACACACACACACACACACACACACACACACACACACACACACACACACACACACACACATACACACATACATACATACATATACATAAATAATCAGTGAACAATTTTCAGTGTTTATGTAACTGTTAAAAATGTTAAACAACGCATTAGCTCATTGTCTATTTTCTTTAAAAGTCTTCAAATTTAATATTAAGCCTTAAGGGGCAATTATTTAATTTAATTTATGGGGCATATAATTCAATAAATATTATTTAATAATTAATATAATGAAATAATGTTATAAATATTACCATATTAATTACATCAAATTAACATCTGCACAGGACAAAATATTTAACACAGCCTTGTATGTTAAATTTGAACAAGAAAACAAATATTCATCCTAAAACATTAAATAAATTGTATAGAAAGCAAAAAATGCAACCTTCTAAAACATCAACGATGTTAGAACACCATTTCTTTTAAACTAAATGAATAAGCAGACTGATTCTATTTCTTGAAAAGTAATGCTTATAACTCAAAGCGGAAATTTACTTTTATAATTAGAAGATTCTGTCTGCATTTGCCCTGATTATTTTACCCCAATTTACAAATTTAAGGGAACTTTGATCATTTACATTAAGAGTACATTTAGGGTCTCTGTGTCATGTTAATGTATGAAAGAGAACTGTAAACATGTATCGTTTGCTATATGTAATGCAAAATCTTTGAAACTCAATATCTCAAAATCATTTACAATGCAGATAGAACCATCTAATTCCACGGTGATGAAATGTCACCATTGAATCCCATTAAAATATATAGATTCAATCCTAATCTCATTTAAGCAAAAAAAATCAAACATTCTTTGTTACAGGCTTTAATCAGTGTCAGTTTATGACACTGCACACATTTTTTAAAAAAATGCATACAAATCAAATGTTACAGATGTGTTAAATCATTTTAAATTCAAAATCAAGGGTAAATGTTCTAATGATAAAAAAAATAATAATAAAAAAAACATCTTGAATGGCCTGAGATTCGATTTGTAAATGAACAGAAAATGTTAATTTGTGGGGAACCGTCCCTTTAAGAACTAACAAACAAACACCTACCCTCTTTTTACTTTAGTGAAGTCAAAAGCCACTTGTCTGTATGAGACTGCCTTCTCGTTCAGGTAGCGGCTGTACCTTCGGATGAAGGTGGACATGTCATATCCTGCACACAGAAGAGAACATGCTGTCTTTAGTTTCAACAACCGGAGGGTCATGGTGAACTCTAGTCATACAGCAGACCATGCTCTGATTCCAGTTATTGAAAAATATTTTAGTTGAATTCAGACTACAATATTTTATCACGACTGTGACTCATTTATATTGCTTACAGGAAGAAAAAAAAAATATTCAGGTTTCCACAGTGTTAGTGTAATGCATGACAAACATCAGAACCCGTGAGCTTTTTCTGACTCCCAAGTATGCCAGGTCATCATGATGTGTACTAGTTTATGCCGCTAGTCATGTGCTTGCATAGAAGCATGTAAAAGTAAAACACAGAAGTACACGGTAAATAGTCTTCAAAAATACTCAAGTCAATTATTAAATGTGCCACTCAACAAATGTCCAGGAAAGTCCCATGAAAAATAAAACAATGTTATGAACATATCAACTATAACAACATAAATAAAACTACTCATTTATATTAGTAAAAATATGTAAATTGTAAAAATACAAAGAGAAAAACAAAAAAAATATATATAATGAAATACATACTAATTACAATAATTAACATGTATAATTTTTAAATATAAATAATAATACACATTAATAAAATACATAATTACCATAATTAAAATTTAAAATTTTAATCTAGTTAAAACAAAAACAAAAAAAATCTGTAAATGAACTGTCAACTCAGTTATTTAAATCTAATAGTAACATTAATAAAATATCTTCAATTACTTTTGTGTGTGTACCCTTTTATTATAATGAATAAATTTGCAAATATAAATACACATACATGAAACGGTTACTGTATGTCAGTGTTAAAGCAGCATGAAGTTGACATAAGAACTGAAAAATCATCTGACTTAGAAAGTTCTATTAACTTTCAGAAAATGGGCCCAGGGTTGTTCTCGGAAGCCTCTCCAAAGTAGAGTCTCGCAGTGCTGATTCCCCTGCTGCCTCTAGCGAGTGCTGGCTGCCAGACTGCTTGTTAACATGGGAAAAGCCTTGGGTAAATAAACCCACTAGTGCTTTATTTAAGCTGAAAGTTGGCCATGTTGTCGAACAGGTCCCATAAGGGAGTTCGGGGAAAGAAGAGCAGACAGACAACGAGAGAGAGAGAGAGAGAAAGAGAGAGAGAAAGAGAGAGAGAGAGACCTACACTATTCAGGGTATATGCTGGAATTAGGAGAGAGAAATATAAAACCTTTTTAGACCTTTTTAAAGACTCTTTTCATACAATTTAAGACCTCGTCACCACTTTAGTTTTAACTGCTAACATTGGCAACATTTTAACTTACCAACCCATGTTCATTATTGATACATACCCCTGTATACTTTTCTGAATAGCGCAAAATATGTGTTAGGAGGTAAGTTTTTTGCCGTTTTTGTTTTCGCGAATCCACTAAAGGCCACTATGTACGCTTTTTTTAGATCTCAAATTTCTCTCACGAGTGCCATTTGCACCTGCTGTTCTCACGTAAATCCACCAGAGGCTACTGTCGACTGACCCCCCCACTCATCTTCTTCCCTAAACCCAACCGATAGTGTTTTCAAACGCACAGATTGACCCAATCACCTCCTTCCCTAAACCCAACTGACAGCATTTTTAAAAGCAATCCAGAAAAGCCGTCCACATGGAGGCACAGCTGGTAGCACGAAAAGAAACAGAAGCAGTCTGTGGCATCATACCACCTTGTAGCGTTTGATTTATAGACAAATTGCAACCATACATAGCTCTGGCTACATAATTTGCGCTCTTCAGTAGAGGTGTGAACCTATACTGGTCTCACAGTTCGGTTACGATTATCATGCCATCGATTCGGTTCAATTCGATATCTCGGTGCATTGACGATGCTTTCCATATATAGTGTTATATTTTAGGGGGGAGGCTATAACATGCTGTCTGTATAAACACACAGACACACAGCAACACACTGTCTCTCATTCAAACACATACACAAACATAGACAGCACCAAACAAATAAAACAAACACACGCACACACACACACGAACACACTTAAGCACTTGCAACAGGGAGAGCTCGCGCTGAGCGGAGCAGAAAAACTAAAAAAAAAAACGAAAAAAAGAAGCACTTTTCCTACGGTCCCTTACTGAGAGCTGCTCTCAGTGCGAGCTCTGCCGGCTAAAGTAAACGCAGACTGCGAGGGCTTAAACGGAGCAGTGCTCATAATGTCGAGCGAAAAAAAAGAAAGACAGCTGTGAAACATAACCAGCTTTGTCTTTCTGTAGGAAACACACTTTAGATCTTTTTAGGGTAAGAGTTTTTTTAGTTATATGTGTGTCAGAAAAATCGAAAACAAAACCAACTGAACCGCGCTTATTTCTGGCGCCCCACTGGATATACAGCACCCTAAGCATTTGCCTATGGTGCCTATGCCACAGGCCGGCCCTGAGTTGGCTGAGTTGTAAATACCGGGGCTCACCTCCCTCGCGACAGAGCGCATAGGAGATAAATGACGTCACTACATAATAACCGGTTATGGTTATTACTGAATCAATACCGAATTGTCCGCGTCTGCATCGCAGTGCACCGAAGAAACAATTAATTTTGGCACCCCTACTCTCCAGAAATATGTACGGGTTTACGTTTTCACAATGAGCCCGTGTTGTAGCTTACAGTATATTTAATAAATGCTGATTGTAAGACACTAATCCTAAACTAAAACATTATTCATATAATGAATGAAAACGCTGATCTAGCAGGTGGTGCCTATAGAACAGCAGGAATAAGGGTTGCCATGGTTACTGCAGTAATAAAAGCAGCATGATGTCAGATCTAGCAGGATTTTATAAACTACCCAGCATCCCAATATTGGCAGATTAAATTCAGCCAAACTTTATATATATATAGTAAATGCTGTTATCTCAAATAAATACTGTTATTTCCTCAAAGAACCCTATAAAGTAAAAAGCAGGGGGGAAAGTGTGATAATTACAAGAAATTGTCCAAGGACCAAAAACATTTGATCATGATTGAACAAGAAAATACCATTTTTAGAATTATTTCTGAAGGATCATGTGACATTAAAATACATTAAAGAGCCCTTATTATGGGTTTTTGACAATGACCTGTCATGCAGTGTGTAACACATCTCTGAGTGAATAAAGACATCTAGCTGAGGGTAAACCTGAAAGTGCAAAGTGTTTAAAAATCTTGATTTTTTTAATAAAAGATTCGACTCTGGGTCGTTTAAATAATTTGTCATTTGTCCGGATCATTTACCCGTTTGTATCAACATTGACGCGAAACAATACTAAATATGTTCTGTGCCAGATACGGTAAAACGTGAACGAGCCTTTCTCTTCAAATGCTAGCAGATATGTGAGTGTGTGTGAGACTGATCATGACGGAAGAGGAGTAAACGTTAAAAAGTGAACATTCTGGTGGTTAATGCAATAATCTACCCTGCAACGAGGGATTCTTCGGCCGTTTGTTAAAGGATCAGAAAATACTTTTGATGTATGGGACCTTGTAAGTTTGACAGGAACTTTACAGCACACAGTTCGTGGATCAGTTTCTTCCGCCATTTCACAAGTTTAAGTAAGTGCGATTAAAATAGTTGCCTCCTTGTTTTCTCTAATGCTAGCTTGCAAAATATGCACTTAACTGGGTTTTGTTGCTTGTAATGGCTCCACACAGTTTGTACTGTATCTAGTTAACTGTTTATATTCAGATTTAGCGTCTAAATCCAAGTTTAAAAACAAGCAGATTGTGTCCATTCGTTGGGTAAAATAAATGCAAATTATAAGACAACGAAAGTGTTGTTTTGACCTTGCATGCATATTAGACTGTTGCTGGAGACCCTTAAAATCAAAATACAACATTTTTTAAAGCATAATAGGGGCTCTTTAAGGAGTAAATTCAGCATTGAATTGCAGGAATTAATGACATTATAAAACCAGAAAATCAAAAATAGTTATCTTATATGTACGTGATATTCCATAGTCTAACTGATTTTAATCGAGTTTTTTTCTATCAAATAAATGCGGCCTTGAGGAGAACAGACCATTTTAAAACCCCAGACCCTCCCTCCAACAGCACATCTGACCGTGACTAACAGAAGGACTGTGAAAATGCAGTGCATGTTCTGTCAGCTCCTCAAATATTCATCATGTCCGCATTTGTCTTGGGTTTTGGACGCTCATGAAAATGGATGACACAGCTGGGATGTGTTTGGAAAAACAGAATGACTAATGAAGTGTCGGGCTGAAAAAGCACCTACCTTGTAACCCGCTTTTGTCCAAAAAATTACTGAGGTTGAATAATGTGTTCCTGGAGGCCAGATATTGTACAAATCTCTGTCAACATGAAGAACAAAGAGCTCACTTTTCAATTCATTCTGAAGTTAGTCAGCATGCAAATAAACAGCACTGTCAAAGACACTAGGGTAAAGCTGAGTCGCAGCACATGTTGAAAATTTAACTGCTTCAAGACAGAAATAAAATGATTAACTAAATGTTGCTGAAATATCTAACTGAATGGTTTAGCAAAAAAAAAATGTGCTTAGTTTTTCACTCTCATTTTGTTTTAAAACCAACTTACTTTTGCAGGTTAAAGATAAAATATAAAAATTAAAGATTAAATAAGTAAAAAGTAAGATAACAAATATATTTTCTTTATTTAAAGATCAAGAAAAAATAAAGATAAAATTTGAAATTATTATATGTAATTTTTTTAGTTTAAAAAATATTATTAAAATGCATTAATTAAATCAACAATAACTAATGAATGTTAAACTAGATAAAATACAAAATATATGAAATATCACTAAAATGAAAAGTACGACAGAGTGATTAGGTTATTCTTGAAAAATGTAAGAAAAATACAAGATTATATTCTTGATGCAAGATAAATCAAATATTAGGTAATCAAAATAAATGCTATTATAAATAAATAAATATATAAATGCTTAAGTGATTTGTAAGTGACTGAAATAAAAATACAATCTAATTGAATAAAAAAGCAAATCAAAGTTCAACAAATAAATATAAAATAATTAAAATAAAAATTATATAAAATTAATAAATAAAAAAACTAAACGTTCAAAAGAGTGCCAGGATATGCACTGCAAAAATCCATATTAAAATAAGAAGTAAAAATAAAATTAAAATAAACTACAAAAATGTTCAATAAACAATAAAGGTAAGCAAAATAGCACGTAATTACATTAAAACAAACTCAAAGTTTAAAAGTCATGGATAAAATAAAATATAATTTATGACTAAAAATAAAATAAAAAATTGTTAAAAAGTTTTCAGGTATTTTCAAAAATTCATATTAAAAGATGTAAAAAATAAATAAATAAATAAATAAATAAATAAAAATACTACAAAAATGTTCAATAAAGAATAATAGGCAAGCAAAATAATGTGTAATTAAATGAAACTAATTAAATAAAACAAATAAAAAGTTAAAAAAGTTTATGACTAAAAATAAAATAAAATTCAAAAGAGTTGTCAGGTGTTTTTAAAAATTCATGTTAAAATAAGACGTAAAAATGAAAATGATTAAATAAATTAATTAATTAAATAATAAATAAATAAATAAAATTCTACAAAAATGTTCAATGAAGAATAAAAGGTTGGAAAAATAACATGTATTTAGCCAAAAGTCAGGAATAAAATAAAATACAATTTATTTTTAAAGATAAAAACATAACAAAACAAAACAAAACAAAAAAAATTCAAAATTCAAAAGTTGCCAGGTATTTTTAAAACTTTATATTAAAATAGGACATACAAATAAATAAATAAATAAATACATTTTAAAATAAAAATATTAAATAAAAAATTTTATTAAATATTTAATCAATGCAAAATCTTTTTTAGGTCAATCTATTCCAGAATTTGGCGACCCGTGATGAAGGGAATAAGTCCAAGTAAAGTGTGTGAATGAGTATTTCTGAGTTCAGTTTGTACACATTCATCATTGAATAGATATCAAAGGGGATGTGAGTGTGCAAGAGCGTGTGCATGTGTGTGGTGAGGCTGACCTCGTTGCCGTAGACCATCAGGTGGTGTGTGGTGATGAGGGATTTGAATACCACGACCCAGCTGGTGTTGGTTGTTCTCTCAAACAGCGTGTCTGCCAGCTGAGGGATGTTCACATTCATCTCATTGGTGCATTGGATCAGATCTGGAGAAAGAGGAAAAAGAGTTGAAAGAGGTCAGCATGTGCGTGCATCAGTGAGTATAAGTCAAACTGTCAACACATCGCAGAGTTTGTGTTTGCGCCATAAATAACTCAAACAGTTTTGGCAATTTAACAATTGCTTGAATTTTACATTGCAAATTTCCTCGAAAGATATCTGAATACTGGTTAAATGATGGTATTACGGTAACTCAGGGGTTAGCACTGTCACCTCACAGCAAGAAAGTTACTGGTTCTAGTCCTGAATAGGCAAGTTAGGAAATCATTTCTGTGTGGAGTTTGCATGTTCTCCCTGTGTTTGCGTGAATTTCCTCCAGGTGCTCCGGTTTCCCCCACAAGTCCAAAGACATGTGGTGTAGGGGAATTAGATAAACTAAATTGGCCGTAGTGCAGGGATCACCAAACTTGTTCCTGGAGGTTAGGTGTCCTGCTGATATTAGCTTCAACCCTAATCAAACACACCTGAACAAGCTAATCAAGGTCTTACTAGGCAAGTTGAATACTTGAAACACCCCAGGCAGGTGTGTTAAGGCAAGTTGGAGCTAAACCCTGCAGGGCATCGGACTTCCAGGAATGAGATTGGTGACCCCTGCTGTAGTGTATCAGTATGCGCGAATGGGTGTTTCCCAGTACTGGGTTGCATTTGATTGATACATTTTAACAATCGGAATGTATACTGCTATAGTTCAATGTAAAAAAATCATTAAGAAAGCATTTTTGCCATATCGCCCAGCCCTAGATAGTCAATTCAAAATTAATAAATACAATTTAAAATATATATTGAATATGTATAAAAAAATGAATAATTAATAAAATGATGAATTTATAAATAAAATTTATTAATTTATTAATAAAATGTTAATTTTGTAGAAATTAACATTTCATGGTATGATTGACCAATTGATAATTAACTGAAACAAATAAATAAATAAAATAAACAAAAAACAGAGACTATGTGGTTTTTTTCTATGAATTAGGGATGCTCAAAATAACCGATTAACCGTTAGCCGAAAGGGTGCATTGTAAACCAATTTATGGTACAAGTTAAACGATTAAAATTTTTTATTTTATATATTTTAAAAGTTTGGCTGCATAAGAGGCTGATCACAGCAAACATGCTTTTTGCGTTGAGAGGCACATATTTTGAATGGCTTACTAATGGCCGCTAGTGTTTTGCACGTTGCTTATGTGCACCTTGCATTTTTGCACTTTATTCATTCTTCAATCAATTGAAAGCAGAGGCAGGGTTTCCCTTGAGGTATCAGCAGTGGTTGTGTTGCCAAGACGACAACAGAGAACTTAAAAGATGGAGGAGAGACTAGTGGTCGCTGTTTCAATTTATCCAGAGCTGTGTTACTATACAAATCTTGAATATTACAATATTATTTAATATTACAATTATAACAACATTAACAGCAACATTCGCGCAAAATACCCAGCTATACATCGCCCATGAACCATGAGTGAGAGAGGAAATAAAAGCAGAAAAGCTCAGGTAAAACCAGATCCTCAAGACACCATCTTTAACCTTTAATGACATGAAAAATGTTGACAGAAGCTTGTGATATAAGAATTTGAGTGGAGCATTAATTAAAAGCATAGACACATTTTAGATGGAGCGATGGATTTGAGGTAGCCTGCTATTATTATTTGATGAAAAAAAAACACATGATGGGAAAAATATAGCCTATTGTTTAATCTAAATTTGTCATTTAAGTGATAAATATCTAGGGCAGGCCTATTTATTTTATACTTTTTTTTGTTTGTTTATACTGTTTTTCTGTGCCAATGGAAACACTGCAGCCGCCTGTTTTTATCATTATTAATCAAACAACAAATGGAGAACATGCCTCTCTGCTCTTGACTGAAGGAGTTTTAGCTAAAATGTTTTTCCTACAGTGAAGATGCTGAAAGCACAGTTTGTTTCATATTTTTATTCTATTGTATTTATTTCTCTTTCCTTTGCAGGGTGGAAAATAACTGTATATATACAGTTGAAGCCAGAATAATAAATTAAAAATATATTGCTTAAGGGGGCTAATATTATAGACTTTAAAATGGGTTTCAAAATATTTAAACCTGCTTTTATTCTAGCCAAAATAAAAATAAAAAAAGCCTTTCTCCAGAAGAAAAAATATTAGAGGAAATACTGTTAAAATTCCTTGCTCTGTGAAACATCATTTGGGAAATTTATTTTATTTTTTTAATTCTCAGGAGCGCTAATAATTTTTACTTTGCCAGTAATCGTTTTGAATAATCGTGATAACAATTATGACCAAAATAATCGTGATTATGATTTTTCCCAAAATCGAGCAGCCCTAGTAAATCGTTTATATTCTATTAACGAGCGGTGGTTGTCGGTTGGCAAAATGAACCGAAATAAGCATCTCATGAACACAACATCCAACACATTTAGAAATGTGATTCTGTGTAAAACTTCTTCGACCTAATTAACCTGAAAGTTGGATGTTTTTCCATGGAATTTGACAAATTATAGTGGTTTATCTATTCTTTTTTTTAAATGATCACCAGTAATATATTGTAATTTAATAGATTCTGACCATACCCAGCAAACAATTTTGTGTTTAATAGATGTCTAAAAGAGATCTAAACGTAGACAACTTGCTTAAAACAAGGCTAAATTTGGGCTGTCAGTGAAAATCTAATAGACGTCTAAGAATAGCCCAAAACTAGACTAGTCGTCACAGATTAGACAGACTTTGTGTAGTCATTCATTTCTGTTTATTTGATGACAAGACTAGTTTTGGCCTATTCTTAGACCTCTATTAGATTTTCACTGACAGCCCAGATTTAGCCCCTTTTTAGCCAAGATTACAATGTTTAGACGTCTATTAGACATTTATTAGACATCTTTTAAAAACAGAAAGTGCTTGCTTGGTACAGTCTATTCTGCATGTTTGTTATAATTGTTTAAATGTTTATTTTCTGTCATTCAATGGATTATCTTTTTTTTTTTTTTTTTTTTACATATTTTACTTTTCAGTGACACTTATAAAAAAAAAAAAAAAAAAAACGTGAAACTGCTCAACCCGTAAACCTTTAAACTTACTGACTCCATTTCAAATCTAGTGAAATTCTAAGCGCTGTGGCTAGCCTATTTACTGTTTCCAGTGAACTACAGCGGACTATGTGTGATGCTACGGTACCACTGCTTAAGAGTCTTAGCATTCAGTTAGAGCTGACATGGTGTGAGTGAGAGACATGCACCGATATCCTGTGCTTTATTACTTGTTTGGCTGCGCTCCACAGCCATCTGCACTGCGAGTGCGAGAGCGGGATCCCTCAAGGCTTTCTCCCCACCGCCGACACTGTGAGACTTCATTCAGAGGCGCAGCTTATCATGCCATTCATGAAGCCTCCGCACAGACACAGAGGGAGGACACCATTGCCTCTCTCCAACTCTGAACCGCATTATATCATCGTAAAGAGGAGAAACCACTTCTAAACTCAAACAGAAAACCCACTTCCACTCGTCACTGCAAACCATTTCAAAGACACAACAGCAATTACACACGCCCTGACAAATTGCCGCCCAATATTAGCGCATGTGTTGGTTTTTGAAGTGGGAATGTGAAAATATGCTGCACGGCAAGCATGGGTGGTCTACAGAATGCCCTCTCTTTTACAGATAACATTCACCATTTAAACCTGCACAAAGGCTTGGCCACGTGACAACAAAAGACTTTTCAGAGGCAACACAAAACGCCTGCGCTGATCATGACAGCGCTCCGAATGAACACATGCATGAGCCTCGACAGACAGATCAAAGCCAGAAGACGACACAGACTCTGTGCAACGGGGTTATCGGCCTACATCTGTAACTGGACACTGTCAAGTTTGCCCTACATGTTCAACAAGCACATCTGAAAGAGTTGAGAGATAAAAATCTCTCCCATGTTGTAATTTACTGTTATTGCAAAGCTACAAAAACATACGTGTTTATAATTTTTTGTTTTTTTTATAGTTGAAATGAACATCTGAGGTGTTCAATCAACTATTTATACAAATTAAGATAATAGGGCAAATTATTAATTATTATAAATAATCATTTATTAACATTATTATTAATAATCATAATAATTATAAATAATATAAACAATTATAGGCAACGCAGTGGCGGAGTAGGTAGTGCTGTCGCCTCACAGCAAGAAGGTTGCTGGTTCGAGCCTCGGCTGGGTCAGCTGGCATTTCTATGTGGAGTTTGCATGTTCTCCCTGCGTTCGCGAGGGTTTCCTCATGGGTGATCCGGGTTGGGGCTGGAAGGGCATCCGTTGCGTAAAAATGTGCTGGATAAGTTAGCCATTCATTCCGCTGTGGCGACCCCGGATTAATAAAGGGAGTAGGGACTAAGCCGAAAAAAAAAATGAATGAATGAATAAACAATTATTAATAATAAACAATGCTAGAGGTGACTTTTGGTTCTGAATGTAGCTAGTGATGCACTGTTCAAAAATAATAATACCAATTATTTTATATATATATATATATATATATATATATATATATATATATATATATATATATATATATATATATATATGTATAAAATATTGTATTATATAAAAATAAATAAATAAAATGTGCTATTATACTTGTGGATTAATTATTTTGTTCTGAAACAGAGATTAAAATCGTTACAATGTTTATTTTTGTTCTTGGTGCGGTTTGCTTTCACACTGCAAAGTATATAAACGGACCAAAAGCTCCACTTCACTTCCTAATCTGCAATTGCCACTCTGGATATACCACTACCTGTACTAAAAAAAATAAATAAATAAAAAAATAAATAATAATTTACTAATACTTTCCTTCTTAGACTTTACAGACCTGAAACTTGCCTATAGCACTTATTCATTGTTGCTCTTATAGTTGTGTAAATTGCTTCCTTGTCCTCATTTGTAAGTCGCTTTGGATAAAAGCGATTGCTAAATGACAATGTAAATGTAAATAAAAAATAAAGTCAT